CTATGGTGAAATTAACTTCCATGGTAAAATGGACTTCCATAGTAAACTGGACTTCCATGGTAAACTGGACTCCCATGGTAAACTGGACTCCCATGGTAAATTGGACTCTTATGGTGAAATGAACTTCCATGGTAATCTGGACTTCCATGGTAAACTGGACTCGCATGGTAAACTGGACTCCCATGGTAAATTGGACTCCCATGATGAACTGGACTCCTATGGTGAAATGAACTTCCATGGTAAACTGGACTTCCATGGTAAACTGGACTCCTATGGTGAAATGAACTTCCATGGTAAACTGGACTTCCATAGTAAACTGGACTCCCATGGTAAACTGGACTCCCATGGTAAACTGGACTCCAATGATGAACTGGACACCCATGGTAAACTGGACTCCCATGGTAAACTAGACTCCCATGATGAACTGGACTCCTATGGTAAACTGGACTTCCATAGTAAACTGGACTCCCATGGTAAACTGGACTCCCATGGTAAACTGAACTCCCATGGTAAATTGGACTCCCATGATGAACTGGACTCCTATGGTAAACTGGACTCCCATGGTAAACTGGACTCCCATGGTAAACTGGACTCCTATGGTAAACTGGACTTCCATGGTAAACTGGACTTCCATGGTAAACTGGACTCCTATGGTGAAATCAACTTCCATGGTAAAATGGACTTCCATAGTAAACTGGACTTCCATGGTGAACTGGACTCCCATGGTAAACTGGACTCCCATGGTAAATTTGACTCCTATGGTGAAATGAACTTCCATGGTAAACTGGACTCCCATGGTAAACTGGACTCCCATGGTAAATTGGACACCCATGATGAACTGGACTCCTATGGTGAAATGAATTTCCATTGTAAACTGGACTTCCATGGTGAACTGGACTTCTATGGTGAAATGAACTTCCATGGTAAACTGGACTCCCATGGTAAACTGGACTCCCATGGTAAATTGGACTCCCATGATGAACTGGACTCCTATGGTGAAATGAACTTCCATGGTAAACTGGACTCCCATGGTAAACTGGACTCCCATGGTAAATTGGACTCCCATGATGAACTGAACTCCTATTGTGAAATGAACTTAAATGGTAAACTGGACTTCCATGGTAAACTGGACTCCTATGGTGAAATGAACTTCCATGGTAAACTGGACTCCCATGGTAAACTGGACTCCCATGGTAAATTGGACTCCCATGATGAACTGAACTCCTATGGTGAAATGAACTTCCATGGTAAACTGGACTTCCATGGTAAACTGGACTCCTATGGTGAAATTAACTTCCATGGTAAAATGGACTTCCATAGTAAACTGGACTTCCATGGTAAACTGGACTCCCATGGTAAACTGGACTCCCATGGTAAATTGGACTCTTATGGTGAAATGAACTTCCATGGTAAACTGGACTTCCATGGTAAACTGGACTCGCATGGTAAACTGGACTCCCATGGTAAATTGGACTCCCATGATGAACTGGACTCCTATGGTGAAATGAATTTCCATGGTAAACTGGACTTCCATGGTAAACTGGACTCCTATGGTGAAATGAACTTCCATGGTAAACTGGACTTCCATAGTAAACTGGACTCCCATGGTAAACTGGACTCCCATGGTAAACTGGACTCCCATGGTAAACTGGACTCCCATGGTAAACTGGACTCCCATGGTAAATTGGACTCCCATGATGAACTGGACTCCTATGGTAAACTGGACTCCCATGGTAAACTGGACTCCCATGGTAAACTGAACTCCCATGGTAAATTGGACTCCCATGATGAACTGGACTCCTATGGTAAACTGGACTCCCATGGTAAACTGGACTCCCATGGTAAACTGGACTCCCATGATGAACTGGACTCCTATGGTAATATGAACTTCCATGGTAAACTGGACTTCCATGGTAAACTGGACTTCCATGGTAAACTGGACTCCTATGGTGAAATCAACTTCCATGGTAAAATGGACTTCCATAGTAAACTGGACTTCCATGGTGAACTGGACTCCCATGGTAAACTGGACTCTCATGGTAAATTTGACTCCTATGGTGAAATGAACTTCCATGGTAAACTGGACTCCCATGGTAAACTGGACTCCCATGGTAAATTGGACACCCATGATGAACTGGACTCCTATGGTGAAATGAATTTCCATTGTAAACTGGACTTCCATGGTGAACTGGACTTCTATGTTGAAATGAACTTCCATGGTAAACTGGACTCCCATGGTAAACTGGACTCCCATGGTAAATTGGACTCCCATGATGAACTGGACTCCTATGGTGAAATGAACTTCCATGGTAAACTGGACTCCCATGGTAAACTGGACTCCCATGGTAAATTGGACTCCCATGATGAACTGAACTCCTATGGTGAAATGAACTTAAATGGTAAACTGGACTTCCATGGTAAACTGGACTCCTATGGTGAAATGAACTTCCATGGTAAACTGGACTCTCATGGTAAACTGGACTCCCATGGTAAATTGGACTCCCATGATGAACTGAACTCCTATGGTGAAATGAACTTCCATGGTAAACTGGACTTCCATGGTAAACTGGACTCCTATGGTGAAATGAACTTCCATGGTAAACTGGACTCCCATGATGAACTGGACTCCTATGGTAAACTGGACTCCCATGGTAAACTGGACTCCCATGGTAAATTTGACTACTATGGTGAAATTAACTTCCATGGTAAACTGGATATCCATGGTAAACTGGACTCCCATGGTAAACTGGACTCCCATGGTAAACTGGACTCCCATGGTAAATTGGACTCCCATGATGAACTGGACTCCTATGGTAAACTGGACTCCCATGGTAAACTGGACTCCCATGGTAAATTTGACTCCTATGGTGAAATTAACTTCCATGGTAAACTGGACTTCCATGGTAAACTGGACTCCTATGGTGAAATTAACTTCCATGGTAAAATGGACTTCCATAGTAAACTGGACTTCCATGGTAAACTGGACTCCCATGGTAAACTGGACTCCCATGGTAAATTGGACTCTTATGGTGAAATGAACTTCCATGGTAAACTGGACTTCCATGGTAAACTGGACTCGCATGGTAAACTGGACTCCCATGGTAAATTGGACTCCCATGATGAACTGGACTCCTATGGTGAAATGAACTTCCATGGTAAACTGGACTCCCATGGTAAACTGGACTCCCATGGTAAATTGGACTCCCATGATGAACTGAACTCCTATGGTGAAATGAACTTATATGGTAAACTGGACGTCCATGGTAAACTGGACTCCTATGGTGAAATGAACTTCCATGGTAAACTGGACTCCCATGGTAAACTGGACTCCCATGGTAAATTGGACTCCCATGATGAACTGAACTCCTATGGTGAAATGAACTTCCATGGTAAACTGGACTTCCATGGTAAACTGGACTCCTATGGTGAAATGAACTTCCATGGTAAACTGGACTTCCATAGTAAACTGGATATCCATGGTAAACTGGACTCCCATGGTAAACTGGACTCCCATGGTAAATTGGACTCCCATGATGAACTGGACTCCTATGGTAAACTGGACTCCCATGGTAAACTGGACTCCCATGGTAAATTTGACTCCTATGGTGAAATTAACTTCCATGGTAAACTGGACTTCCATGGTAAACTGGACTCCTATGGTGAAATTAACTTCCATGGTAAAATGGACTTCCATAGTAAACTGGACTTCCATGGTAAACTGGACTCCCATGGTAAACTGGACTCCCATGGTAAATTGGACTCTTATGGTGAAATGAACTTCCATGGTAAACTGGACTTCCATGGTAAACTGGACTCGCATGGTAAACTGGACTCCCATGGTAAATTGGACTCCCATGATGAACTGGACTCCTATGGTGAAATGAACTTCCATGGTAAACTGGACTTCAATGGTAAACTGGACTCCTATGGTGAAATTAACTCCCATGGTAAACTGGACTCCCATGGTAAACTGGACTCCCATGGTAAACTGGACTCCTATGGTGAAATTAACTTCCATGGTAAACTGGACTTCCATGGTAAACTGGACTTCTATGGTGAAATGAACTTCCATGGTAAACTGGACTTCCATGGTAAACTGGACTCCTATGGTGAAATGAACTTCCATGGTAAACTGGACTTCCATGGTAAACTGGACTCCTATGGTGAAATTAACTCCCATGGTAAACTGGACTCCCATGGTAAATTGGACTCCCATGGTAAACTGGACTCCTATGGTGAAATGAACTTCCATGTTAAACTGGACTTCCATGGTGAACTGGACTTCTATGGTGAAATGAACTTCCATGGTAAACTGGACTCCCATGGTAAACTGGACTCCCATGGTAAACTGGACTCCCATGGTAAATTGGACTCCCATGATGAACTGGACTCCTATGGTGAAATGAACTTCCATGGTAAACTGGACTCCCATGGTAAACTGGACTCCCATGGTAAACTG